CATATAAATTTATATTTATTGTCGATTTTGTATAAAATAGTAACAAAGTGTTGAATATGAGTAACGGAATTGAAAATATGGTTACATTGAACTACCCTTTGGTTATATGTCTGGCCATCGCTTGGCTGCTAATGTTTTTAAGTATTTCTCGAGGAGTGAAAGGATTGGGAAAAGTGGCTTATTTTACGGCTATTTTCCCATACATTATGATCACAATACTGTTAGGGAGGGGCGCCTCTCTCGACGGGGCGTTGGATGGCATCAAATACTATGTGACCCCCGAATGGGAAAAGTTGGCAAATATAAAGGTCTGGTCGCAGGCGGCCTCTCAAATATTTTTCTCTCTATCCATATGTATGGGTGGAGTGATTACTCTCTCCAGTTATAATCCATTTAAAAATAACTTTCTTCGGTAATTATGATAACATTTGCATATAAATTGCAATTATTTTATAAAAATATATTATTTTTAATGATTCATTCAAGAGATTCGTTGACAATCGCTGTGTGTAATTCACTGACGAGTATTTATGCAGGTTTTATAAGATTATATTTACCGAAATGAATGTAAAAAATTATAAATACTGTACTATATATTAATTAATAGGGTTTGCGATATTTAGTGTCATTGGATTTATGGCCAAAGATTTAAATAAAAATATTGATGAAGTGGCTGACCAGGGTATTGTATAAAATAGGTAATCACAATAAATAACATAAGTACCATGATGTATGTTTGTAAACAGGTGTTGGACTGGCATTTATAGTGTATCCCTCGGCTCTATCAATGCTTCCGGTGGCACCTCTTTGGTCGTGTCTATTCTTTTTAATGATATTAATCCTTGGATTTGGGAGTGAAATGACTCTCATTGAAGCCATTGTTATGACAATTGTTGATCAGTGGCCGCACAAACTCAGGCACAGAAAAGTTTGGGTTTTGGCCTGTGTTTGTGTGGTTATGTTTTTGGCCGGTCTTTTCATGTGCACGAGTGTATGTGTTAATACATATCATGTTTATATTTGATTTAATCTCATAATATAACCAATATGTTAATCGATGTGATAATTTAAAGGCTGGTATCTATATTCTGCAATTAATGGATAGTTATTGTGTGCCATATTCTGCGCTCTTTATAGCATTTTTTGAAGTGATGACAATTGCGTGGGTTTTTGGTATGAATAAATACTTGGAGAGAATGAAAGAGATGTTGGGTTCCTATCCATTCCCAAAGCAATATTGGAAATATATGTATCAATACTTCTGTCCGATTGTTATTGCTGTGAGTTTTTCATTAAGGTATAAATGTCTGCTTATCTAATCATGTTTATAACAATTTTAGGTGCTTTTGATCCTACAATTTGTATACAAATTGCCGACGACTTATGGGAATTATGAATACCCGGTCTATTCTGAAGTTATTGGTTGGCTATTATGTGTTTCATCAATAATATTCATTCCGGGCATAGCTTTGTATCAAATCTTATATAAAATGTTTGCTGAAAAACTTTCATTTAAATTGGTATTTAAGATAATTAATGTTGAATTTCATAGTTTTAAACAATGTTTTCTGTAACTCAATCTTATAGGCAGTGAAGACATTGATTGAACCGACTTCTGTGTGGAGCAAAAGTGTTGAATCCAATGGGTTTTCAAATGGTCACGAAAAGAGTGATCAAGTTATGAGCATTTAAACATTTTGTATAAGTTGTCTCATTTATTTTTAAATGTATTATTACTGTATAATATTTTAACGTTAACTTTTTTATGCAATAATAAAATATATGTATGAATTTGTTATGAAATGAAATAATTACATATTTTACCATAACTTATGGTCCATAAGTTAAATTTATATTAAAATTTTATGCATAAGAAACAAAAAACTTTATCAAAACTTCAAACTTTTGGCAGAAATAGAAATAACAAGGTATTTGTTTGAAATGCAGTATTTTAATGGTATACAAAATTAAAGTATTTGCAATCCTCTGAACATCATTGGATTCATTACATTAAAATTATTTAAATTGATTTAAATTTAATTATACAAACCATTAGAATCGATAAATAAAATATGCTAAACAAAATCAATTATGATTTTAACAAAGTGAATTTTTATTTCACGTGAAGTTGTTTTCCAACAATTAAACCAATATTTAAATTTAACTGACGTTTAAAATGAGTGATAATAAGTCGGCGAAGAGTTATACCATCGATGAAGTGGCGAAACACAAGACTAAAGATTCGCTTTGGATTATAATAAGTGGCGAAGTGTTTGATGTGACAAAGTTTGTGGCCAAACATCCGGGAGGTTGTGATCCCATTATGAACTTCGCCGGAAAGGACGCCACCACTGGTTTCGTCGGCACTCATTCAGACAATGCGGACAAACTTAAAACTCAATACAAAATCGGTGTCATTAAAAAGCCATAGAAACCAATATAGTTGTGAAGTTTTTTAGATTAATTTATAACTTAATAATACAGTAAAATGGATAATAAATTATTATATAAATTAAACTTAAAATCATTTAAATAATAAATTAAACAAAAAAATAACAATTTCTGTATTTATATGCCAAATGGAAATACTGTATAAATATTTAATTATAACATGTATTGTAAAAATTATTAACGTTTGACATCAGTTGCCGAATGCGTGTGAATTTGGTCATAACTGGGCGGCGGTTCATAACTGGGAGGCAATACAGGTGTGTTCACAACAGGTCTGACCTCCCGATGGACTCTTGTGTCCAAATCGGGTTCACGTGTTGGCTGTCGAGTGTTGTCCCGAATAAATGCCCTGAAGTTAGAAATAGTTGAAATGCGCGGCGAATCCTCTGAAGAGCCTCTTTGGCCTCCCTTTATAGCAGTTCTCCAACAAGTGATACGAATTATACCGAAGATTATAAATAGGGAACTAATGCCGCAAAGAACTATCAATAGGACGGTTGGAATGGCGCCGAACGCCAACTTTGTCACAACTGTTACCACTAATAAACAAATACCGAGTCTCAACACATTTTTGCCCAAATCATAGAAATCTCGGTGATATTTATCATTAGCCATCGCTGGACTCCCGTCTCTTCCATTCCGCACTTCGGAGCCAACAGTTGACGGAACAGACATTTTAGATATTGTTTTTTTCAGTGGTTTACTGAGATTTTTGTGGATTAATAGATATTATCAGTAAATCAGTTGAATGTCAGGGAAACAGAAAAAGTGTGATCGCATTCATGATGTAATGAATAACAAAGTATCGCACATTCATGTCAAGTATTTACACCAACTTCTCGTTCACCACTTATAGCAACTCATATGTACTGCACTTCAAATTCATTATTGATATTCATTTGAAGTTTGTTTTGTACAGTAATTGTTTAAACATTGAATTAAACCGTAAATATTGACAATAATTATTGATTTCAATAAATAAAAAATAGTTTTGTTTTTTCGATTAAAGCCTACTTTTAATCATTACAAACAACTCAAACTCGTATATCAATTGAATATCAATTGACATAAATATACAGAATATTAATCAGATTTAATTAATCACTAAATTTAAGCGATAATTTCAAACAATAACTAAAGACTAAATTAATTAATAGATTTCTACGCGAATCGCTGTTTACGTCCATTTGTCGGGTAGGAAGAAGAGGAGGACAACAAACATCACAGACACTCGCTTGGTAAGTAAGTGTAAGTGCAGGCCCTCCCGCGGGAGCCCATCACATGACATGTGCCCTACTGGGGTATCTCACGGGTGAAAGGTCAGCCCTTGGACTTTCATCAGCTCTCTCTCCACTTCACGATTGTATCGCATGTGCCGTAAGTACCTGTGGATCAGATAAGACAAATGATAGGCGTTAGCGATGGATGCGATGGTGCAATGTGTGGATCAACTGACGCCCTGTCCCTCTCGGCCTGAATGAGTGGTTCGATGGCATTGTAGTGATCAAACCTCTCGACCGCCAACTTTCCCATATATCGCTTCCTCCGCTTCATATAATACGTGCCGTACGCTATCATTACGATATGCATTGTCATCA